TATATATATATAAATTTTTTTTCTTTCTCGTATTATAGTGTTATACGTCTGTCCTCTATAAAGAGCACTACTTTGGGCACTGAGCACTTATAAAGAGAAAAGGAAAAGGGATGGAAGGCCTATCATTACTCAGGGAGGTAGGGGAAATCAGGAAATTTTGCTGCGAGAAGGTTGCCCATCCCCTTTTCGAGGAGCATTGTGCGGTGAAAAGGCATGTGTAAACGAACAGAGAGGTGCTTGCTCGAAAAAGTCGCACTGGTCGGAAATCGAATGGTGGTCTCCCGCGTGCTAACCCATGACCTAGCTGACTAAGCTACCGCGCGCTCTCTGCTACTTATAATAAAAAATCGTTACTTGGCTGTCAGAGGTTTTTTATTTTAACTAATAATTATAGCCATATATTCAGCCACAATCAGCTACAACAAGAGCTATAATTGACTTAAGAATAGCTTTAATAATGTGTAAATAATTACGACAAAAAGAAACTGTTCACAACTATACCTTTTTTGCAAAATTTTAAACAACAACGTTTATTAAATAATATTTTTTGTAGGGTAGACATAATGGGCACTATTATTAGTTTAATAACACTAAAACTAGGAGGTTTAAGTATTTCTGAATAATAAACAAAAAAAACTTTTTAACAGTACAATTTTTTTAGGTTGTTCATGGTTTAAAAAACTAGAAGTCAAAAGCCGAAAACTAGACAAGCAGCGTAAACTATTGAAAGACGTGGTTAAAAAAGAACTACAAGCTACACGAGAATAGTTAAAAGAAATGGCGAAACGAGAGAATCCAGATAAGCTGCGGAAATTAGTAACGTACGTGGTTAAGGACGAACTATACGCCATAGGAGAACAGCCAAAAGAAATGGCGAGCGAACAGAATATCGAAGATTGTGTTGTGGACATAACGGGTGGCGAGAGTGATAGTGAAATAGAGTTTGCCATGGCGAGTGATGACACAAAATTAGAGATTAGCCTAGAAAAAAGGGATTGGGATACGTTTATTGAGCGTTTAGAAAACCGTT